CTACTTCTACTTCTACTTCTACTAATGCTACGGCAACGACGACGATTACTACTACGACTGCTACGACTACTACGACTACTACGACCACGACGACGACGACGACGACGACTGCTACTGCTGTTCTTCTGCAGCTGCACCCGGATACAGCAAGCGGCATTAACCCCAAGCGTCATGCCTGAATGAGGGATCTGAGAGCCGGGCTGCAATGCGCAGCCCAAGTGCACGACCCCTTTTCTGGACCCGCGCCTTCGCACTGATCTTTAGGTTCGGGATGTGTGCTTGGGGGGTACAGCTTATGGTTGAAATCAGAGCCCTCTGCCTCTACAGCCTAGTTCAGATGAACGGTCCCTCGCTCGGGGCTCTGATGAAGCATCTCTGCATGGGAGTGTCGTACTTACACATAGGCTTTCTGCTCTTCCGCTCAAACACAGCAGGGTCAGTAGCCTTAGCCCTTCGAGGTGTGAAACCTTTCTTCGGAGCCTGGAAGGAGCGCGGTCGCTGGAAAGCCAGCAGCAACCTCAGTGAGCTCGAAATGTCGGGATTCAGTCGGCCCTCAGAACCGGTCAGTATCTACCGGTCAGTATCTACAGAAAGCCGAGGCTTGCTTCTTGAGCGGTGCAACGGGTCGACACCGGCCTGCTACACACAAACCCAACACGCCAACCCAATTCCCTCTGTCGTACTGCTCGGTCTGACAAGCCCTCACTGGGAAACCCGATGTCTGGCAAGGCAGAAGGGCCCAGACTTCGTGCTGGAGCAAGCCTTCGCAACCAGTGCATCTGCCGGCCCGGGTTCACCGTTCACCTGGCCCATGGTGTTGACAGACCCCAGGGCCCCGGGTCCCATGACCCACAAGATCTTCTTACTTGGAGATCCGATCGGTAGCTTTTACGTGGACAGACAGGTACCGGTTCAGAGTTGAGGTTCCAAGCAGCTACAGTCTACCTACAGCCAAGCTACCCATGGTTTGACTCTATCGGTGCAGTCCGGAACGGCAACCCGCCCTGCCTGCAGCAATCGATCAAAGCGAAGCACCTCGGCCAAGGGCCAGCAAGCATTCAAGGGGATGACTACCAAAGGCTGGCGGAACCCGTAACTGTTGATGGGCATACTGTAAAGCTTGCATTGTTCAAAACTAGCACTAGCAGTTCTCCACAATCGTCGTAGTTTAGGCTACTACTGTCATCTTCAAAAACATGCTGCGTAGGCAGATGAATTGGTGACACTCACCGAGACTCTGACTTTCTGGCCGGGATTCTGGCTATTCCAGCGGTGTACAAGGCCTTCTGCCTGCGCGGCATACCAAACACGAGCTAAGGCTCAGGGTAGAAGCCATATGCCCATGCCCCATAGCAGGATGCACACGGTCTGCATTGGGCCTTGACCCCCGTCACCAAACAAAGCTTCTGATCGGAGGCATCCAGCTGCAAGCCGATGCTGGCCAGGCCCTCTCCTCCTCGGAGCACGGGTAACGACTGGAGAAGTTCCTCTTGCAAGCGATGATGACGTTCCCGCACCGCGTGCCAAATCATCGCTAAAGGTCCAAACCCACATATATAAGTATATATATATATATACATATGTGTGTATGGATGGGGCCAAAGATGAATTTGTGAGTTTTCAGTCACACAAGCCTCCTTCAGGAGTTGAACCTCCAAAGGGCACCGGCAACTATCAGCAAGGTGAATTCGGGAAGCCTTGCAACCCCGAATGAGGTATACGGCTCCAGAAAAACTGCGCATGAAAACTTCGACATGACAGGACAAGAGCTTTCGTCACAGCAGGTGCCAGAACGACTCTAATGCATACAAATCGCAATGACATGCAGACTTATGCGACCATCTGTTGGTGCAGATTTCAAGGGTATCAACCGTGTATAGTACCAACACCATGCTAGCATCCTTTCGACATCATGAAGCCAATGTGAATGCAAATGCTTGAGGCTTGAGGCACGGACGATCCAACTCCACCTGGCGCACATGACACGGTGCCATTGATTCGCGCTCCGCTTATTGTCAATATTTCTGCGTTCGTACATGGCCGAAGGCCATGCATTCTTGTGCTGGGGGTCTGACAAATACTTTTTTTCTAGTGTAAGGCAATCCATCTTTGCCAATCAACCAAGGCAAATACTAGCAAAGGAATTTGGACCTGCTGCTTCGGCTTCCCACGTGGTTTGGCTGTGCATGTTGCAGCTAGCAGGGTCACCCTTCCTGCCCTGCTGCGGTGGATGGGGAAAAGCGTTGGGCGGAACTTCGGGATGGGGGGCAGGGTGTTGATCACATTTTTGCAGGACTATGCTCAGCTAGGCCTCGGGAAACAAGAATGCATGTAGGTCTTTGCACTTACATATAAACACATTTCTCACAACCGACTCGATTGCTGCCCTTACTGCATGCATACATACATACATACATACATACATACATACATGCATACATACACACATACACATGTATGCATGTATGCATGTATGCATGTATGCATGTATGCATGCATGCATGGACTGGATGGATGGATGTATGTATGTATGTATGTATGTATGTATGTATGTAGGTATGTATGTATGTATGTATGTATTACATACAGACATATATCTATATATGTATATCATATTATATATATATATATATATATATACGGATGGGTATATCTTGAACTGATTTGTGGGGCATGCACACCGGGTGTGAAAGCAGTACGTTCTCTCTCTCTCTCTCTGGGTTTGTTTGTTTGGTTGGTTGTTTGCTTGCTTGCCTGCTTGCTTGCTTGTTCGTTCGCTCTGTCGTTTCTCCCTTCGGTCGTTTGTTCTTTCGTTTGCTTGTTTTTTCTTGGTATGCTTGTGTATCTGTTTTTTTTTGTGTGTGTGTGTGTGCGTGCGTGCAAATTCCTGTCAGAAGCTGAATGTCGGCAAGGAGTGGCAGGCAGTTGGAAAAGCCCAAACCCCAGAAACCCGACAACCGCCGAAGGCCTAAGCCTAAAACCGAAAAACAAAAGTGTGAGACCAAGACAAACTCCAAGTCCTTCAAATTAGTGGTTCCTTTTTTAGGGGGCTTGGCCGTGGGCGCCCCGTTTATTACAGCTTCTCCTATCTGAATATTGGGGTCCCTTCTTTTCTAAAATGCCTCGCCTGGAAGCTCAAGGCTTTCGGCGTCGTGGGCGCCTGTGGGCTCAAAGAGCTCTCCTTGCACTGGGCAGAGGCTCCCAACTCACCTTTTTGCCTCCCTCCCCCCCGTGTCTTAACTACGGTATGGCAATGCAGGGGAGAATACTTAGAGGATCATGGGACTTAGTAAGTAGGGTTATAAGTCCCCTAATTGGGGTTATTAGTATAGCTACCTTAGTTAAAACCCTACTTACTAAGTCCCATGATCCTTTAAGTAGGGGAACCTTAGTTAAAACCCTACTTACTAAGTCCCATGATCCTTTAAGTAGGGGACACCAAGGCAACTAGTCGTCCCAGGATCTTTTGACAGAAGTGGGCTTCGGCACTTGGGGTCAGGTCTGTGGCCTGCGGGTTCAGCCTTCGCCACCGAAGAACCCTTAAGGGAGCCCTTATCGTTGGCCAGTACGACTCCATGTATTCAGAATAATATAAATAGTAATACAAATACTAATGGTAATATAAATACTAATTGTAATAATAATGGTAATCTTGGAGCAACAGCCACTTAGGGTTTCGGGTTGAGGACTCGCCCACTTTGGCTGCAAGCTCCAGGATGTCTTCAGTACGAGACACCGTGCACTCGGACAAGTTAGCCAAGGACGATCAAGAGTTCTGGGCTGTTCGACTCGCACACTCGCTCAAGGCAGGCACATGGTGAGGGTTCAGGGGAGGGTCAAGGGTTCGGTTTGGGGAGTTGGTTTTGGGGGGTCCCAGGCAAGGATGCAAGCGCAGAGAAAAAAGCAGACTTGGCAATGTCCCATTGCACCAAAACTACAACATCGGCGCTGCGATTCGTCAACTGCAAGGCGTCTTGGTCTTGCAGCTGAATCTGTGACGATATCACTTCAGCATGCCAGCAAGTCTGATCCAAATCCGGACCCTTCAAAAGGACGCAACTCTTTCCAGGCCACATCAACAAAGTCGCCAGAGCGTACCAAGCCAAGCTGAAATGCGGAAATTTGCCGCACGATGAACGGTTGGGAACGACAGCATTGGTCGCACCACGGCGCGGAACACGCTTCTTGTCGCATCCCCACCCGGCTCCACGAACACCGCCGGTAGCGGCCGGTAGCGGAAGGTCAGCCGGGAGGTGGAAGTTTACCAGCGAGTCAGACTGTTCACGCCTCCTTGCCGAACTAGCAGAACTATACAGGCTCAAGGCCATCGTGCAAGAATTAATTTCGGGACGGCAGAGCACCACCGCGTGAAATCAAGTTCGGATTGCGGACCAGAAAGCTTCAAGAGACCTGGGCGATTAGGCTACATGCGAACTCTTAGGCACTATGCGAACTTGGGCTGGAGATCTGCCGGCATGTTGGCATCTCTTGGAGATGCGCTCTACGAATTACTGCATAGAGACTCTTCCCCCTGCGCACGATCACGACGAGAGCTACTCACATGTCGCCACCGTCGACATCCTCTTCCTCCTCGTCCTTGTTGAACATGCTGCCACCGCCGCCGCCACGCCTTCGGAGGGAATGAAGTTTCGAGCAGTTCAGATACACTTCTTGACAGAACGTCAGACACGTTCGTGGCCCCGCCTGGCACGTCCTTTCGCAAAGGACATGCCGATGCCTGAGGTTCAGGGTCATCTTTGCTAGCTTCGGGCAATATACGTGGCAGATCATGCCGACAGGCATCGGAACGGAGGCAGGACACCTGTCATCTCCTTGCCTCATGCCTTCAACCGCCATGGTCATTTGAGGAGCGGGCCTAGGCCGAGGCCACCCCCTGCCGCACCGCGGCGCCGCGCTTCGAGCTGCGAGCGCGAGACCCCCGTGATCCGGTACAGCTGCTCCTATGCACAGGGGTGAACAAGTTTCGGATTTTCGAGTTTCGGACTTTAGGTTTCAGGAAATTGAAGAGCTCTAATGGTACGATCCTTATCATAAAGAGCCCCTTAGTTATAGTGCCACTTCGAAAGACCCCCCCACGGCACCCTGGCGATGTTGTATTGCTTCTCCATGTACTCGGGGGAGTTGTCATTGCGGAGCCCGAGCAGAGCCAAACCTGCTGCACTCCCGAAACTTGCACTAGGGTTTGGGGTTTAGGGTTTCGGCTCTCACACTCGGACAATCCAGGCGAGGCGAATGATGAGTCAACGTCAAAGTGAAACAACTGCACATGCAAGTTCCGCAACAAGACGAGCCCTTAAGATAGGGAACCTGTAAGAG